AAAATTATGTATTTTAACCTGATAAATGCACCCTAAATGGTATAAAACAAATGGAGAAATTAAATACAACCAGATATTTGTATTAAGTCACCTTATGAGCAAGCAAGTAAGACACTTGGAAGCAGCCATACATACTATACATATATATTGTTAAGATTATACTGTAATCATCATTTTTATGTGTGCGTATCATGACAACAGTATTTTGATAATGAGCTTTAGATACAAACTTTCCATTTAGATATATTAATGAAAGAGTACAAACTTAAAAGCACCTGTGAAATATCGCTGTATTTCAACATGGCATTGGCCACCTTGAACCTCAGCCAGTCACCTCTGCACACAGGACTACACTGTACCCATTAAACTGCACATCAGAAAATAGCCATCGGCACAGTGGCAATGATGAATACATAATATCTGAGTATCTTATGGATCTGTTTGTCTAACTGGGACTATTAAGCTGTCCTTTCTCTCTCACACGCACGCAATGTTAAGACTGTCTGATTAATGATAAACTATAACAGATGCAGTATATTTACACACAGGCACCTCATCCCATTCCCAGCCCACGCTTCACTGACCAAATTAAGTTTCGTCCACAAAACCAAAGCTGCAGCCACTTTTCACCCAGTGATGGTGGCTGGTTAACTTATCTTGATTACTCAGCACTGTCAACAGATTTTCCACAAACTCTGTAGGGTAGGGTTCATATAAGGGCATGTGATATGGGCTAGAGTTAAATGTGTTTACTATTATTATCGGCTCCAGAAAATATAACTATTTAAGACAACAGTATTTTAAAGGTATCTACTGTACCTACATTGCTTATATCATCATTTAAATAAATAAAGAGCGGGCTGAGTCTACATTAATTCTTGTGGGGGAGTCATAGATGCATAATGATTTCTGTCATTTTATAATTAATATATTTCTATTTAGTACATAGATCTGTGCTCAATGGCTTTTGATATAATAATACTGATGCGCCACCGGACCCATGTGGCACCTCACATTAACTCTGGCTTGGAGTATTGGTTCTAAATTGATTAATGTTATCTGACCTGTATGATATATTTCTTTTTTTTTCAGATACTGTCTACTTTCTCTCTGTCACCATTTTCTTTCCAATACCTGCATCAAAGTCACTTTCCCCTCCAGTCTGATCTTTTTGTTTTCTGCTTCTCAGCTCTTATTGACCGTAATGAAAACTGACGGCCTATCTGGCTCTAGAAATTCTATTACCAAAAGCCTTTTGGAGGTCCACTTACTTTCACAGCTTTGACACATAAACTATTCACAGGTAGGAGACAAACATGTGCGTTCTCATTCATGCTATATGTTTCTCTACAAAGAATAATGCAGATATTGACTCAGGTATACAGCAAAAGATTGCAAACTCAGCAAGCCAGTTTTTACTAGTAATGACTGAAGGAAACATGTGATTGCAAACTCTTGCCCAGCACTTTCTGTATTCTGTTTGTACTCAATAAACTACACCTCAGCATATGTTGGTAGTCACACCCCAGGCAGAAGGAGGAGTGTCTTAGGGACGCTACTGCAGAGAGCCTAGTTGCCAACCCACTGCGCCAACCCTGATGACATTGTTGCTATGCACAATTCACAAGAGCAAGACCAGTCCTACTGTGAGTGACTCAGCTATTCATGTTAAATATGTCACATAAAGGTGAAAAGTATGATTTATGCCATTTTAATTTTCTTCGTTAACATGGGGGTTGGTTGTGGGAGGAATTTGTCAAAATGTAAATCAAAAACGTTGTATAGAAAATATTGATGATACTGATCCCACCTTTCCATTTTCTTTTTCCTTTGACAGGAAGATTTCTTAGACATACGGTCTAAAACTATCTTTAGACACCACCAATTTTATTTTATGACAGTCACATAAGCTTGTTGGGTCTTTCCTTCCCAATTTGATTAATCTAAAGGATAAAAGAAGAACAAAATACTAATAATACCTTCACATTACCCAATCTAATTTAAGTTTCTAATGGGGGAATGATTTTTATAAACACTTTCAGGGTGAAAATGTTGAAAATATTTGTTGTCTGTTCGAGTTGAAAGAATATTCAGAGATTCACAGTAACAGTAATGCAGCTCTACTGCTTTTCATTTATGGCAGCTTGATACTTCAACAGTATGAGGTTGTTTAGGTGAGCATTTCCTCATTACATCCCCTTTCTTGAATATGATAATCAAGATGGAGTGAAAGGCTTAAGTATAATTATTTTTGGAAAATATTTCACTTGTTCTTTTATATTTAAAAATAGTCAACAGTATGTATTAAATTGCTGTGGGGACTGATATTTAAAGGACTGTGTAAACAGTTGAAACAGAGGCAAAGGTACAGTTTCTACTTGAAAATGATACAGTATGTATATCTGATGAGCTAAAAATGGGACATAGTTCCTCTGCTTATCCTCCAATACTTAGGTCTGGACCAGAGGTTAATGGCACCATAAATAGCTGAGTTCAGTTGAAGATTATCATAAATAAAAAAATAAAAAAGGAGCTGTGGGGGATAAGTGCGCTCAAAGTGGTATTGGAAAAGAAAAAAACAAATGAAAATTAAAGTTAAAATGAAAGGAAATATATCTTATAGGAAATATTACCGGAGAGAGATTTTGGAATTTAAAGTTAGCAACGATATTTATTATTTTGTTTTTTTATTCAAAACTGGCTGCTGTTTACAGCTGGAATTTCTGGGAGTCTGCTCACATTAGATCCAGTTTCTTAAAGTGTGCATACAGAAGATGGAGCCATAATCCTACTGAGCAGATTGCAGTGTCATAAATGTCTTTAAAAAAAATTTTTTTTCAATTCCAGTCTTCGAAGTGGCTGAAATGGCTGTCATGTTCACCAGAGTCATGCTAGGGGCCTGATTATTTGACTCAAGTGTGTTGAAGCAGAGGCAAAGCTCAAATGTGCAGGACATCAATTACGGGGATTGAAATAAAAGAACTCTGCTCTAAACCTAAATGGCTAGGATTTTCTATCAAGCTGTTTTGTTATAGGACTGGAATGAAGAGTTGAGTAAATTTTGGGTTTACCCACTTACAATGAATTCCATTTTTCATGTCAGCTCCCAAGTCACAAGTGAATTTCTCCATTGTGAGATCAATAAAGTTATATCTAATCTAATCTAGCTAACAGTTTTCATTATGTTTAATGATGCTTGTCAGTGCAGAGCTCAGTGTTTTGTATTGGGCTAGAAGTTTTTGCCACGTTCATCACTTTGGGTTTATTCAGACATAATTATTAAAAATTTTTTTAGAACTGTATCATTTTTGTTCTCCTAAGTTCAACATTCATTGTAAGCTCAGGAACCCTTTTTATTCTATTCAGCTTCTTTTTTTTCTGAGTTTCTTTTTTGGTACCCAATGCATTGTTTTCTGACACCTACTGCCTTTTCTTTCAAAATATTGTATTTTTTGGAGACCTAAACAGGTCCTAAATTGTACACCGTACTTGATATGGTTTTCAAATCAATTACTGGTAATCTTCCTTTCATCCGATTAAGCCATAATGAGCTATTCTGGTGCATTTTAGGCAATGGCTCAGCATGGTTTAATATGGGTTTTACTAAAAACATAGCTACAGTTAAATCATTCTAGTTTATAAAGCCCTTCAGTTTATAAAGCACAAGGTAGACAAATAACCAAAATAAACAACAGAACAAAACCCCCCCACACAGTCAATAAATATTGACATCTCGGTTCTTTAAGCTTGAGCTTTGATATTAAAAGTACATATAAGTATATTTGAAGTTAAAGTACATTTTAAAGGAAGTAAATGGCTGAAGAAAAATATATTTAAAAGGGAGAGAGGGACATTTTTAAGATGACAAGACGAATTTAAAAAGCCTTAGAGGGAATACTTTTAAGAAATACTGTGAATGACAGAGAAAGGTTGAACTTGACAAATACAGAAAGAAATGTGGAGGAAAAGAGGTCTTCAAGACAGCCGGCATTAGAGGATGGGGCTGAGAAAAAGTTCAAAACAGAGAGAAGAGTGTGTATGCGGGGCAAAGCAATTGAGAGTATGTGAGCGAGACAGAGTCAGTGACAACCACATGGGAGTAGGGGAGGGTGTGTGCAGCATGTCAATACAAATGCTAAATCACTCCAGGGCTTTCCACCAGCTGAAATTTCAGCCTTACTTCAAAGTCAGGTGTAATGCAGAGAAAAGAGAAGGGTCAGGAGAAAGAGGATAATAACAGATGTTTGCATTTTCACTCCTATTAAATATATAATGTCTAAACACAAAATCCACCTTATTGTTAGCTCATTCCTTTTCTCCTTTTTAAAAAGTATATAGTAATATTTCCTCCTGCTGCTGCTGTTATTCTGCTTCACTTTACACAAAGATATCTGCACTCAATCTACACATGTATAACCACATGGCAAAAACTCGACTACTGCTTGCAGCCTTTAGCACTGGCTCCCTGAAGGGATACTTGCAAGCCTCTGTATTTATGAAGGTGTAATATCCTACCTGGACTGCACTCGCAAATCCTCTCCCATCCCTGTAACAGGGTGGCCCAGGGGATGGATGGGCTGTTGGATGGATGGCTTTGAGAGTGCAACATGACAATTGAGAAACATGATATGACAGGTCAGGAAGCGTGAGGAAAGGGAGGGGAAGAAGGGAGAGATTGAAGAGCAGAGACCCTTGCTTCGAAGTACAATGTCTAAAGGGAAATAAAATGTGGCAATTTAAGTAAACCTTTATTTGTAAATCTATCATAATAAGTTATTTAATGTTTTTTATTGTTTTTACAGCAAATGCTTGGGGTTTTCCCTCTTTAGCAGACTAAAGTATATTCTTCATGTGATTGATGATGTTTCATCATATAGATAGAAGAAAATAGGGGGTCAGAGGCCACATCCTGGAATCACAGAATGATGTAGTGCTTTGATATTTCTTTCAACGGGTCTCCAGAAACTCATAGGTGGAAGACAACATAAATTCAAGGATACATTCGTACACCACCTGATCTTGAACCAATGGCCAGAATCTTCTGCACAGGGTCAAAGGCCAAAGCTGTGGGCTGGTATGGGAATCCATGCCGGACAGTCTGCACAAAAAACAAAAACAAACAAAAAACACTCAGATAAAACTGATCTTTATCAAATATTAAAGATCATTTTAAAATCCTCAGGTTTTTTTCATAAAAAAAACATTTTTATCTGCAGCTGAAAACAAATATAGTAATACTGTCTACCTTTTTCCTGTCTTTCCCTGTTTTTAGTGATATTTTACATTGTGATTGCAATTGCAACAGTCTCCCATAATCCCTTTATAGAACACAACTCAATGTTCTACTGCATTTTGACCATATTTATCTATTTATTTTGCACTGCACTGAACCTTTCACATATCAATTTGCACTATGACTTTTAACTAGTTTTCATTGTCTCCTACACTGTCTACATTCTTGATCACTGCTGCACTTTGTAATTGGGTAATGTTCATTTCACTGTGGTAAGCTACTTACTCACTGTTGAAAGATGTATTGATCGAAAATAAAATTGTCCTAACAGTCTGCTTCTGTAATGTCTGCTTAAAATCTTCAATCTGTGGTTAAAGAAAAGTATCCATCTATTTGTCTATTTTCTTTGAAGTAACTGAGTTCAGGTTGCCGGGATAACAAATCCAGGAGGAAAAACCTAGACATTCTTCTCCCCAGCAGCTCTCACCAGCTCACTTGGGGGAAGTGCAAGGCCATCCCAGAATAACGATCCTGGAGCAGGTTTATGGTCAAAGAGTTTCCATCTAGTTGGAGAGGCACAGAAAAACCTTTATAGGGAGGTGCCTGGAGGAATTTTGCCTATATGCCAGACTCTCTTCTACAGATTTCTTTGAATGATTATGAGCTTCACCTTTACTTTTGGCTCACCTACGGTAGATGAATACACTCTCTGGGCTGTCATTATAAGGCTTAATCCAAGTTGCAGTGGGAGCTAATTTAATCTGGATTGGAATAAAAATTAACTGCTTCATTTTTTAGACTAACTCTTTCTACACCGCATCGGCCACCAGTAGCATTTGCATTATTTTCAGTGACGCCAAAATCCATCTCTCTTTGACTGGTTCTACTGTACCCCTCTAACACTCATGACCAATACACTAAGACAAAAGAACTCTTGCATTTAAGGGCAGAGAATTACAACAGACACTAAGCAAACTATTTTCCAGTTGTGATCCATGTATTTCAAGGCAAGGCAATTTAATTTGTATAGCACAATTCAGTACATGGACAATTCAAAGTGCATAACATATATATATTTTTTTTAACCTGAATTAGATAAAAAAAAAAGATAAGAGAAATAAAAACTGAATAAAAGCTAAAACATTTGTAAAACAAATTAATTAATTTCACCACAAAAAGTAGAACAAAAGCATGTAAAATACAAATAAAAAAACAGGATAAAGAAATTAAAACAATTGGATGACAACCTTAAACCAATACCCCAGTTAGCATTTTAACTTCAACAGTAGAATGCAACTCTAAACAAATGGGTTTTAATTTTGACTTAAAAGAACTTAGGCTTTCAGCACTCATTCAGTCTTATACAGTTCCAGATAAGTGGAACATAGATACTAAATGCCACTTCCCCATGTTTCGTTCTCGTTCTGGGTGAACAGAGTAGGCTTAAACTAAAAGACCTGAGTGGTCTAGGAGGTTGACACACTGACCACAAATCTGTTATCTATTGTAGTGCTGATCCATTCAGTGATTTATAGACTAACAGAAGGATTTTAACGTCCATTCTCTGAGCAACAGGGAGCCAGTGGAAAGATTTTAGAACCGGGCTGATGTGCTCTACTTTCTAAGTTCTAGTGAGAACATGGGGAGCAGCAGTGTTTTGGATCAGCTGCAGCTGTCTGACAGACTTTTTTTTATGCAAACCTATGAGGATACTGTTGTAGTATTCATTTCTGATAAAGATAAATGAATGAATGAGTTTTTCCTAGATTCTGCTTGGACATTAGTCCTTTAATCTTGGAAATGTTCTTCAGGTGATAAAAGGCTGACTAAGTAACTGTGGCTCTGAGGGTTCAGGTCTGAGTCCATCAAATAAAACAATCTCATGCTAGCTGCCTCATACTCTGCCGCATATCACTCTATTGCACCCTATGGGGATCAAATCAAGTTGCCAACAGAACCACATCAGCCACAAAAACAACAATGAAATCTTGATGTTCTCAAACCAGACACCCTTTCCTACACAGCTATGCCCTGAGGTGCTCTCTATGAACAACACAAACAGGTTTGTCAAAGTGCAATTCTTAAAGAATCAAAGAATCTTGAAACAAGTTTAACATTTTGCTGATAATGCAAAAAGCAAGAAAAAGTTATCTTATTAATGTTCACATTTGCTTTGCCAAAAGAAAACAGTATAGCTAAAAGGAAAATAGATTAATTTAAGCAAAAATAAAATTGCTTTTATTTTAAACCTGTCTGATAAGAGATCTAGTTGATTGTATCATAATTTTGTTGTGCTAAAAAATTAGAGAAAATAATGCCTTAAGAAGCAACAAATAAACATTACCATTTGTTCATAATGTAGCCAAGTTCTGGTATGACGTTAATCTAATTGGCTTCAGCTGTCTCATTCTGAAGGCTGACAAGGCAAAACAAGACTGCCTCTCAAAGGTCCGTGATGAGAGGCTCTGCATGCTCTGCAGCTGCCTGCCATTAGTCATGTTAAATATCCCAGCGGACTGTCACTTGCAATAATCCTGCTCAGAGGGGATGTACATGAGAAACATTGACATGATGGTGGCTGAATAAAAGCTCAGCAGTAGGAGGAGATTTCTTAATAAGATATAACATAAAAATCATCATACACAAAGCTGCAAAATATATGCTGTGACAAAAACAACTAAAATAAGGAGGGGACAACTCTCTTTATGCAAACAAACCCAAGCAAAATGAGTTAATGCATTATAAACGGGATGCTGAATAAGACAGGCGCTAAATGGTGCCAACTTTACTTATTCATTGGTAGAGTTTTACATGTTACACTGTTTTAGAAATGAACTACATCTTCTTTCTCCAGTTTAAGCAACTAAAATTTTTAATGTCACATTCTCTCAAAATTCACAATACTAGTCCACATGTTGCAAGGTAAATATGACAGCAGGATTTGCTTTGGTCTTCTTTAAAACAGAAACATATTGCTTAATAGTCTTCATCTTAACTATCCCATAAACGAAATTTTAAAAAATTGTAAACTAATCTAGACCATGTTGGTGTGTGTGGTAGGACAGGTGGGTCAAGATGCTCACCTGCAATATATTTATGTTGATGGGATTATTATTTTTAATTTTTACAGTGAAAGTAAATAAAGTAAACTAGGTCAGAAGTTAATATTCATGTATGTCAGCAGGTTTAGACTAGGTCTAATATAAAAACTAATGCGTTTTAAGTAATGTAACAAAAATAAAAAACAAAAGTTTGTATTGACGTAAAACAAAATACACAGCATCCACCCCCCCACCCCTGCAAAAAATAATATATATATATATATATATATATATATATATATATATATATATATATATATATATATATATATATATATATATATATATATATATATATATATATATATATATACATACTGAAATACTAAAGGATAAGGCAAGGAATTTAAAATGTAAATATTGATTAATTAATTATAATTATTTTTGTGCCTTAAAAAAAATAAATAATATATATATATATATATATATATATATATATATATATATATATATATATATATATATATACTGTTATATATGATTAAAGTAATTCAAGCCAGTAAATATTAAACTATCCCTACTTATCTCTTCTCTTTGCTTACCAAAGGGAAGGTTGAACTTATCATATAAAATGCATTTTGTTGTCCTTGATTCTGCTTTGATTTTGTAGATTCATCCCATTTTCCTTGTTCGGAGTTTAATTAAATTGCCTTAACTGGCATACTTTTCAGTGTGGAGCTACACATTTGAAGCCACTTAACCTATCATGTTTTGTAACCTTAAAAGGTCCCATATTATTCTACATTTGAAAACAACAAAATAACAATGAGGCCCCTAGAGCATGTTTTTTTGTCATCTGTGCAGAAAAAAATTCTACCTAGATTAGGCAAATCGTCTTTACCAAAAATCTCATTCAGGCCTACTCTGAATTAGCTGTTTTGGATTTCCAAACCCCTGTCCTCCTGAAGGCCGTGCCTCCACAACCCACAACCATGACAATCAGTCTGAGTTCGTAATAATAGTCTTTAAGGACAGAATAATACATTAGATTATGGCAGTTAGACTTAGAGACTTAGACTTAGACAGATTTATTTGTCATTTTGTTTACACAAGTGTAAAACAAAAAGAAATTTCGTTTGAAACATTTCTCAGGACAATTTCATCTTTTTTTAAAGTGCAGCCTTGGGGAAAAAAAGCCTTTTGCTTTATGAATATCCTTAATAATTCATGACATAGATTCAGAAAGATATCAGAAATATTCCTCAAATATTTTGTTCACAGAAATCCCAAAGGTGTACTAAGATCTCTTCTCTGTGGACGTATATGAAGGTTAGAGAATTTTAGGTCATGCACCAACAACCAATATAAGCCAATTTTAGCTTTGTAACATGTTGTGTTAACCTGCCCAAAAGAAGCTGATTGGTAAAATGTGAGGTGGACAACTCTGAAATAGAATGTAACATTAAACACATGCTCAGTTGAGATCCAGAGTGTGACAAGACAATATTACCCCACACCAGTAGACCACCATCATCAGCCTGAACTATTGGTATAAGACAGTATGGATAAATGCTATCATATTCTTGGCACATTCTAATTTGACAACCTGCTGAAATTCGGTCTCATTTGATCTGTCAATTTTTTTTAAATTTGTTATTTTTCAATTATGATGAGCTTCTGCAAAATATAAATATAATTCCTGTCTCCTGCTTGCAGGTGTGTCTGCTGCAGTAGCAACACTGCTACCACATATTGTATTCAGAGACAGTATTCTGCATAACATGGTGACAAAGAGAGAGAGTATTTAAACTTCTGCGGCCTTTC